TATTTTTAACAGAGTAATTTTTGACAGAGCAAGTACACCTTGGGATGAAACTTTTGATCGACTTGATTTAGGCTGCAATTCTCACCATTCAAGCATTTATTCAGATTATATAACTTATGTTAGGGAGAATAATATGTAAGTTCAAAACTATTATCAGATTGCTCATAAATCTTGTAACATTAAGTCAACAAGTTTATTATAATCTAACTTCTTTTTGTTTCCATTTTATTTGCTACAGTCCTCATTATCGCCCCAAAACTCCACCTCCTGAAGCAAAGCGTACTTCCCCACAGACTGGCTCAAATAATGGTTTTGGTAGTGGGCATAGTGGCAACTCATATTCAATGTCAGAATCCGACTTTGATGTGGAAAGTTTTCAGTCCCATAGGGAACAATTGCTGGAAATGCAAAGAGAACAACAGCAAAAACTGTTTACTGAAGAGGATCATGAGACATCTATCACATTAGACCTTCAGCCAACATTGCCAGCTGATGTCAACTCACATTTCACTTTAGACTCTGCTGGTGCTGAATTTGCTGTCCGGGCTTTAGTGGACTCTCCGAACTTGGGAACGCTGCCTGTTTTGGAAGGAACCACACCAGGCAGCATCAGTGCTGCTGCAGCTTCCCCAGTAGGAAGCAGGACCAATTTGCAACAGTTTAGTTTCTCTTTAATCAAGTCAAATGACTCTAGTGGAACCAATGGAAAAACTTTGAGCAACTCAGTTACTCCGGGAAAAGTTACTCATGCAGACAGTGCTACAGTAGCTAAACTACCACTTATTGCCAACACAGTCTTGTCTTCACCATCCATTTCATTGCTTCACAAATCTTCATCGGCACCAGTTTTACCCCTGTCATCACAAGTCACATCATCATCCACATTACCGTCCACAGTGTCACTATTATCATCAGCGACAACCATTCTGCTGCCACATAAAACTAATGGTCCTTTATCATCTTCACATTGTAAGTACACACTATAAATTTATCACATTAGACATGTGGGTATTGTTTATGAAGTATTTTAGCATTGATTTGGGTGGTGGGGATGGAGACAAATTTACTATTTATATAGCATCTTATGTAATGATGTAAATTCTTAGGTTTGTAAATAGTAGTAGTTGGTTTTAAATATATAAGTGTAAGAAATAACTGCAGCAAGTTTTTCCGTGCTGTAATAGTCTGTTCAAATAGAGCTATTGTGTTTATTTTATGCTAAACATGACCATAAATGATTTTGATTATTTTTGGTATCATAAATACATTTCAATCCACACAAATTCATTGGCTACATCAAATTTTTTAAAAAGATTATAGCAATGTCCTTAAACATCCAGACTATTCTTTTAAATATTAGACCATAACTGTGATATAAAAAAAAAAGGATGAATTTTTTTTTTTTTATTTATATTTATCATAATCATATTTACTTACGCTTTATTATTTAGGATACGCTTTATTATTTAGGATATTGAAATACTAGCAAGTTTTATCAAACAATGTATGGTTGTAAATGTGATTGAGCTAAAATGTTTAATTTTGAAAATGTTTATTTTCATCATGATTAACTATTTATTTCACAGTGAAATCCAGTGGGCTTTCAACTTCACCTGCAGCAAATGTGCTTCAACTCAATTTTCCAGCAAACACATCATTACTAACAACAGCATCTACTTTAGCTTCTTCTAGTGCAGTCATTGCAGTAGCTTCATCTTCATCATCATCTACTGCTAATACCACACCAGTGACTACCTCTCTTACAGGGAATGCATCTCTGCAGCTTCAGCGCTCATTAAACAATAAAGTCACAATCCCTGCAAATTCTTCTGGGACACTTTATAAACTTCCTGTATCAGCCACCCCCACTTCCAACTATGACATTCTCAGGTAAGAAATAATTCCTGTTATTTAATGCTTGTATTGTGATTGAAATATTTTGTAAAACAAAAAATGTATAAATCCTGTACAACTTAAATACTTTTTGCTATATTTAATGCTATACTTTATTTCTTTAATCATGTAGTCTAAAAAATATACTATTTGTTGAAGCCATCAATAGATTTCCATTGACCTAAATGGTCAGCTAAGTATGAAAACTAGCTTGCTAACTTTTCTACCTACTGTTTCTTGTATTTAAATAATATAAAAAGAAAAAATGTTTCATTTAAAAAGAAAACATATGTCAGACCTGCCTACCTAAAAAAGTCCAAATGTGTAACACTGATGGTCAAATTGTGTATTTTGGCACCAGAATGTGTAATGCTTGATATATAATTTAAAAGCAAAAAACATTATATTTAGATCTAGCTATATATTAAACAAGATAATTTCCCTTTCTAATTAATACAGGCCATCAAATCTGTAGCACAACTGCCACTAGTAAATTTAGAATCTAGATCTAATAATCTAGTTGTTGCAGAGCACTAGTCTAGAGACTAGATCTAAAATCTAAATTTACCTAACTAATATTACATCATTATATTAATTTTTAATACTACAGTAATATAGATCTGGCCTAGACTCTAGATACCAGAAAAGACAAGTAGTACAATTCTAGATGTATATGCTTAAGATATTAATGTCTTAATTTTAGCCTAAATTATATCTATATAGATCTCTAGTAGTTTCTAGATTCAAGATTTACTATTTAATTATCTAAATCTACATCTTCTAACTGGATTGTCTACATTTAGAAACTTAAGAATAGATTAGATGTCATGATTAGATATAGATCTGGAGCGTACCGATCCCATGGATCCGCTACAAATGTAGCCCCTTGAAACTTTCATAGGCCTGCCTAGATCTAGAATCTAGTACCTTTATAATTAATCTAAGAATCTAGATCTACACAAATAATCTAGATCTAGACGTTATCAATCTAGATCATACTAGATCTAGAATGTTGAGAATCGTAGCGTAATGTCTAGCTAGACTCTAAATCTACAATGTGTTTTGAATCGATAGAGCTTTGATATTTTTCGCGGCTTTTGGGGAAAAGACGCTATTAGTTTTGTGCGAAATGTCTGTCCATCCGTCCCGTTTCGATCTCGGAAACTAGAAAAGATATTGAAAATCCGACATCACAATATTTTAGACCATTCAAAGTTCTGATGCAACGGCTACTTTTTTTTTTTTCTGAAAGCGAAAAATCTAATTTTTAAAATCAGTTAAAAGCAGTTTTTTAAAGAGAAAAAGCTAATTAGTATGCATTATAAGTTAGGCCTAATTTAAAATGAATAGTAATCTTGTAAACTTCATTTACCTGAACTTTTATTTTTATTGCGGAATGTTTTTTTGATTAGGATTCAAATAAGAGATTGAGCCTTTTCAAAACGAGATCAATCATAAGACATCAGTTAGGCCAGGGGAGGCGCTGTGGCTGAGCGCTTGGCTTCCAAACCGGGGGTCCCGGGTTCGAATTCTGGTGAAGACAGGGATTTTCAACTTTGGAATCTTTTGGCACCTCTGAGTCCACTCAGTTGGGTACCTGACATTAGTTGGGGAAAAGTAAAGGCGGTTGGTCGTTGTGCTGGCTACATGACACCCTCGTTAACCGTAGGCCACAAAAACAGATGAACTTAACATCATCTGCCACAAGGTCTAAAAGGGGAACTAGTTAGGCCAGGTTCACACAAGGATATGAAATGCGTAACGTGACAGTTTCAATCCATATTTGCGTACTGGCAGTCATTTTTGTGAGATTTTGCATACATAATATGCATTTTGCGTAACAGTAGGCAGGTCTGATATATAAATCTTTTTAGGTTAATCATGATTGTCATGTAGATATAAACAATAAAAGACAATTAAGTTAACAAGTAACCAATTTGTCAAATATACAGGTTTCGTAGCAAAATCAGAAGTCTCCTAAAATTTTAACTACACTCCTTAAATTTCTTCTCAATAATTTTTTTTTTGTTTTGCTTTTTTCTTGTAAAAAAATTTAAGCAGCATGTCTAGGTATTGCTATTGCGTGATTAGGCGGCTGTGTTGACTGACCAGTCATGTGTGTACCTCGCCTTTCACCACTCATATGCTTAGAGCAAGCATTTCACAGCATCTTTGTTTTTTATTCAGGTTGAGAACTATTTGTTTTCACTCTTTGATTCAACTGAAGATGCGCTGGACTTCTTGATTTAGTCTGTAGCCTGCCTATACTTTATAGCTATTTGATAAAGACTAATCCAATCCTTACCAGTCTAAAATATAAACATATATATATATATAAATATAAAAATATTGTAACAGAGTAACTTGAGCTGCAGATCTTTATTCTTTGTGTACAGATTTTAGTAATCTAGATCTAGTCAAGATAGTTTTCACATAAATTTTATTTCAATCTGAAAAGTATTGAGAACCAGAGGAAAAATATGTCCTTCAAAAAATAAATAGGTGAATTGACTACTACTATATATATATATATATGTGTGTGTGTATCTTCTTACCAGCTTCTGCTGAGCTGTAATCTTTACTTTACTAGTTATAAGATTATTTATTTATCTTCATATTTTGTTTCAAAAGTGCTACTAATTTTGAGTATTAATAAATGGTTACCTTTTTATTTATTGCATACAAAATGACTAAAATACATTTGGTTTGTGATCATAATTTAAAATTACCATTAATTAGTTTTGTTTTTTTCACGAGATGCTGGAGTCTTGAATAAGTTAACATCTGCAGTCTCCGATATAATAATTTGTTTTATATTTTCTTTCATTACAGGTCCAACCATGATGAGATTCTTTTCAACAAAGATACAGGCATCCCTATGGATGTCACATGACAGAGATCCCATGCGTCCCCTTGGCGCTAGTATCTGTTAGTTACGCACCCATTCAAGTATGGTGTCAGCAGCATCATCGCTCCATCTTGTCTCTGTCTGACTAGAACTGGAACAGTCACAATCTGATTCCTGCTCCAAAAAGCAATCCAAGCTAATTTAGTAAAGCTCCAGTAGGCACTAAAATGTCACCATGTAATTGTGTAATTGTTAATTCATTCTTTTTTTTTTTTTTTTTTTATTCCTTTATCTTTTCTTTTTTTTTGCTTATTATTATTGAAGCAGAATTATGCATTACTAAAAAAAACAACACATAAAAGGCATTTGTATATTATTTAGATCATTTATTTAGCATTTAGAATGATAATAATGTGGGCTCTGTTTTCTGGTATGAGCTCTTTTTATAGTTCTCTGTAATATTTCCAGCCTGGTCACAAGATCTTTTGTGTTTTGAAAGTGAACATAAGTTGTCAGCTGCTGGAGCTTTTACTCTGTTGACTTATTGATGCTAGGGCATGTCAAAAACATGCAGTATCATTTAAATAATGGAGGAACATTTAGAAGTAGTGAGGTGAAAAGAAAAATTATTGTTTCAAAAGTGTTACTATCAGCAGAAGTGTTCTCATTGTGAATGTGAACAAGTCCATCTTCCTGTTACTTTGGTGTTCCTATTTATCCAATTACAACATACAAAATATTGGGAATCGTTCTTATATTCAAGTTGTAACAGAAAGATAATGTAAATTATGTTTGATTTTTGCTTAACATTAGAAAAAAATAGCCTCATAATAAGTCACAAGATAGCAGGTAAATTTGAATGTGAGCATTTGTATAATTATCATTTTACAAAGATCAAATATGTAAGAACTGGTAATACAAAATTTTTTCCTGCTGCAATCGGTGTTTAAACGTTCTTGTTTTTTTTTGTTTTTTTTTAATTATAAATTATAGGGACTTTTACTAGCTGCGTTGTTAGCAACATCGAACTTATCTAGTGATATTTTCAATAAATGTTTAGGTAGCAATTTGCCTGCATTTCAACTTGTGACTTGCTAGACATTTGCTCAGTATAAATACTATCTATAGTGCCTGTTCATATGTTCCCTTAAAGGTGAAACCAACACCCCCTTCAAACATTCTATTGAGTAACATTGTGTCATGGTATTTGTTCCAGTGTTTGTATAGTTTTGTCTTTCAGTGTTGTGAGATGCTTTAGAAAGTTGTCCTCTTGCAATATTTTTTTTTAAATAATGATGTGAACATATAACTATGAAATATATTTTTACCTTCATATTGTATTGGGAAATCTCTGTAATAGTGCTTGGCATGTTTCTTATTTTTATAACTGTAAAGATAGGTTTAAAACAAGTTTACTACCAGTAAATCCTTTCCTTATAAATTCTCTTCTTTTATCCTAGTAATGTTAGAAATTTGTATGAGAATAATTTCTTTGTCAGTGAACAACCATTTGAATTATAATTAATAATGATCATCAGTAGAAATGTTATTAGTTAATTTCTTGACATCTTTGATTTGGTGTGAACAAACCAATAGACAGCTTTTAGATTGCAAACCTAGCAACAGTACCAATTAGGTATACAAGTGTGCAATTGAAATAGTCATTTAGTGAGGCATGCTTTAGCACAAAGATAAAACAATTTCAAAATTATTTCTTTTAGCCTTAATATTTCTTTTATTTATAAATACATATGAAATATTAAACATACATAGCTTGATTTATGTAAAACGGAAAATGATTTAACAAAATACTGAATTTTTTAATTTTTTTTTTTAAATTCTTTGCTGCTTGAGACCTTACCCCAGTAATTGTTGTCACTGTAGTGTAGTCAGAGGAGCTGTGTGGGAGTAGGTTCTAAAGAATGATGTATATATGTTTCACTATGTGTATATGTTTCAAGAGCTTCAAGATTATTGCATGATGTGGATGGAACATGAGATGTGTAAACAAAAAAATATCTTTACTGTGATAAACTATAAAACCAACAAAAACAAAACGGGTGTATAATGCATCCTCTTTCACAAATTGACATTTGTAATAAAAGTTGAATTCATGTCCTTTATGTGTTAGCTGGTTATTTGTAATATATTGTAATTTATATATAACTTAGCCTTTTCTACAACTTAAAAAAATGTTGCCCTCTTTTTTTAAACTAGAAATTAGCCATCATTTTTACATATTTCTTGCAAGACCAAAATTAGGATTAATTATTAGGTGACAATGTTTAAAAAAAAAGTACAAGGTACATTCCATGACAAAAAATGATGGAGTGATAACTTAAAAGTACTTCTTCACTACTAATTACCCAATAAAGCCTGAAATTGATGTTTTTTCATGACAGTTCCAATAGGGACTATATTTTAAAAGCGTGGTCGATAGGCTAAGTACGCTTGAACGTGGCTCAGCTAGCTATGAAGGGGGCTCGAAGTTCGACACCCGACTAAGGCAGAGTTGTGTTTACTGAGTGCCTAAAGGCAGCACTGAAAACCTACTCCTAGATACCCCCCCCCCCCCTCCCGTCCCCAAATGAGATTGGACCAAAGCACTCTGAGCATGCTATAAGCATGAAAGTAGTGCTATATAAAAGCTATAATTTTATTTGATAAGGGTTTATAAAACTATTACAGAACACAAACTTCTTTATTTCAGAGGTATACTGGCAATTCAGTGTAACTTAAACAAGTATACTAGTTTCTCCATTTCATAGCTTTATCTGTTCTAAATCTTGCAAATCTTAATTTTATATCCAACAACATAATTTGTAAAGTGGTACCTAAAAACATAACTATCAAGCCTGATCCACAAACTTGCTTCAAGATTAAAAGTAGTTTGTAGGTCAGACAACTTTGAATCCCTTAAAATTACTACTTTCCTTATCACAGTCAAAACATTCACATGCTTCAACTGTCTGATGCTTATCCAAAGAAATATTAGCCCAACTGCTGGTGCAAATGCGAGAGAATTTCCCATGAAATAACAACTCAGTTTGAATGGCTCTAGGAAGCCTCCAACAGGATAGTCTCTGTTTTCGTTCAATGTTAGGACCAGGGGCACCAATGTTTAACATGTTGCACAGCTTCACAAAACAAAGTGTATACAATGAGAAGGGAGCACATAAGGGGAGATGGTCAAGGACATCCAATGAACTTACAAACCTGTCCCCTTGCAATTTTGTTCTAATGTCAGGATCTCTAGATAAGTGTAGTATGTCATATGTAGTTAAGAAATTGTTTATCAGTAAGTAGCGAGCGATATCATCATGCCCAGAAAGCAAAGCCACACTCAGAGGCGAAATAACTGTGCCATGGTGGTTGAATTTAAAACAGGTTTCACTACACTTTCTGTCACGAGGGGGGCATCCATTTAAAATCATATATCTCACCACCTTACGCTCACCTCTTGCAATCATCTCGTGCAGATGTTCTTGGTCAAACACAGAAAGATTCAGGTCTGCCCCTTGGCTCAAAATGTTTTCAACTAAGGCAAAGTCTCCCAGGCAATTTTGAAATGCTAAGGTCAAGGCTGTTTTTCCATCATGGCCAACAACATTGACATCAGCACCTTTACCCAAGAGCAGCTTTGCACTTTGAAATTCACTATTTCGAAGAGTGTGCATCAAGGCAGTGTATCCTTTCTCACAGACCACATTTTTGTCAGCACCAACATTTAGAAGATGTTGGACACATGTTGTTTTCCCTTGTTTGGCTGCATACATCAATGCGGTCTGTCCTTTAATGTCCCTCGCATCAATATTCAGATTTTTATTCAAAAGGAACTGAACACAGACCTCGTGCCCCCATTGGGCAGACAGCATCAGCGCAGTGGCCCCCTTTTTATCAGACGTTTCAAAATCAACATCGAATCTCTCGAGGATCTGGAGGTATTGCAAGTTGCCAATGTCAGATGCGTACAACAAAGCAGTCATTCCATCTTTGTCTATAGCATTGGGATTAGCACCATCCTTTAACAAAGCTACTAGTGCATAACGATTTTTAAACTTCACTGCAAAAACGATGGCTGGTGTTAAATCTCTTTCATGACGAACATCCGGATGAATACGTTTGTTCTCTAGCAGATGCTTCAGGGCATTTTTGTCTTTTAACCTTATGGCTTTAAAAAGCTCATCTTTCACATTATCTGACATGATGACACACCACGTTGAATACTGAAAAGTCTAGATGCCTGGTTTAAAAAAAAATATATGTATATATTTAAAAGTTAATTGATAAATTATAATTTTATTATGAGATCTTTTATGAAAAGGTAGTCTACATTTCGATCTCTAAATAATCTAGATCTAGACTCAATATAATCATTATAATCTAGATGTAGGCTATCCTAGACTACCTGTAGTGCAGTCTTAGGGTGCAATAAAGCAGTCAGTGTAACACTATATTATATTAGTAAGTTTAGCAACACTAACAGTAGATTTAATTATATAGATCAAAGGTCATATAGACTGTAGACATCTAGAACTAGGTAACTAGATATCTTATCTTATATAATACAGACGTTACTTCAAAAAAGAAGATGATTACGTCCTACGCGTCATGCATTCAGTCATGCATATTAACCAATGAATTAAATTCTGCCAAGTCACTGGTTTTCCTGGCTAGCTCAGGCAACCCATTCCATGCTCTAATAGCACTAGGGAAGAAGGAGTATTTGTACAAATTTGTCCTAGCATATGGGAAAAGGAATGTGCCTTTATCTTTGTGTCTTTCAGAGTATTTTATTAAATTTTGTTTTTGTATTTGAAGATTATGGTTCAGTGTTTTATGTATAATTGCTACTTTACTTTTGAGTCTTCTGTCCTGAAGGCTTTCTAAATTTAGTGATTTTACTATAGGTGTTACTCTAGTCAAATGTGAATATTCATTTGTTATGAATCTCACTGCTCTTAATGGTTTCTTGAGTTGAGGGGTCCCAAACCTAGGATGCATATTCTATTATTGGGCTAACCAAGGTTCAATAACATTTTAGTTTTATGTTCTTATTTGATTTATAGAAATTTCTTTTAATAAATCCTAATACTTTGCTTGATTTTTTTAGTTTCATCAATATGTGGATTCCATGACAGTTTTTCATTTATTATAACACCTAGGTATTTTGCGTTTTTAGTCTGTGTTACTGGTTTGCCATGAATAAGATAAGTGGAATTAATTTGTTTTAGTTTTTTTGTTACTCTTAACAACTGACATTTTTCTGGGTGGAAAGACATGCTCCAATTTGATTCCCATTTCTGTAATTCATCTAATTCTCTTTGTAAAATATCTGTGTCTTGTGTTGTTTTTATTGTTCTATATATTATGCAATCGTTTGCAAATAATCTGACTTTTGTTCCTAATGCAATTTGGTAAATCATTTATGTAAATTAAAAATAGTAGTGGACCCAAGACTGTTCCTTGAGGTACACCTGAGTTTACTGTTATTGGTGTTGATTTAGAGCCATTTATTATTACAGTTTGTTCTCTCCCTATCAGAAAATCTTTAATCCACTGATGCAGTGGACCATTAATGCCAAAATATTTTAATTTCTTAAGCAAACTATGGTGGTGAACTTTGTCAAAAGCCTTAGAAAAATCTAGTAAGATAGCATCTATTTGTTCACTATTATCTAAACCTTTAGAAAAATCATCAATTAGTCCTATTAGTTGTGTTTCACATGATCTATATTTCCTAAAGCCATGTTGGTATGGTGTGAGGACATTTTGTTTGTCTAAGTGGTTTATGATGTTGCTACATATTATGTGTTCTAGGATTTTACATGTGATGCTGGTAAGTGATACTGGTCTGTAGTTTCCTGGGTCAGATTTTTCTCCTTTTTTAAATAGGGGGGTGACATTAGCTTCTTTCCAGTCCTTTGGTACCCTGCCCTGGTTAAGTGAAGCCTGAAATAGTATTTTAAACACTGGGGCTAGCTCATTGCTTAGTTCTTTGAGTAATCTAGCTGGAATACCATCAGGTCCAGACGCTTTATTTGGTTTGGTGTTGGCTAATAGTTTTTGAATTCCATTTTCTTGTACTACTAAATCTTCTATGTTGTCTACTTGGTTCAAAATAAGTAATATGTCTTTGTCTCCTGGGACTGAGAATGCTGATGCAAAGTATTTGTTTAGGATGTTTGCTTTAGTTTCATTATCATTATGTATTATGTTATGTTCATCTTTTAATGGCGCTATGCCTGTTGTTTCCATTTTCTTAGACTTAATGTATGACCATAGGTTTTTGTTGTTATCTTTAGATATTACATTGTTTATGTATTCACTCTGCAGCTGTCTGCTTACTTTTTGGGTTAAGTGTTTAATTTTTATATACTTTTTGTAAACTCTTTCTGCCTTGGTTTCTTTAAATTTTCTATACAGGTTTTCCTTCTGTTTAGAAAGCTTCTTTAGTCTATTATTAAACCAGCATTTATTTATTTTGTTTGATGTGTATTTAGTTGGTATATGATTTTCTATAATGCTTTTAAGATGGTTTTCAATGAAATTCCAGAGGTCATCGACTGGTTGGTTAATGTCTTTTTCTAATAAGAATGTTTGTTGAAAGTTTAATGCAGCTTGGTGTAGTTGTGTTAGGTTACATTTATTCCAGAGTAAGATTTTTCTTTTGGGTTTTGAATTGGCTACTGCTTTTATCTGACTGTGTATTTTTATGATCTCATGGTCTGATAGACCAGGGATAATATCATAATCAACTACTACTACAGGTCTGTTGGTTAAGAAGAGATCTAATGTGTTGTTTAATCTAGTTGGCTTTTTAATGATTTGATCTAAACTTAGGTTGTGTAAAGTTTCTATGAAAAGCTCATTTATGTCCTTAAGGTTTTGGTGTTTATCTATGGTTAGTGTTTTCCAATTTATATCAGGTAGGTTGAAATCACCCATAATCCAAAAAACTGCATTTTTATTTGTCTCTTTAAGTGTAGTAATCTGATTACATAGTTCCTGCATGTATTCTAAACTAGAATTTGGTGGTCTGTAAATGCTGCCTATTATTAGGGATGTTGAGGTGGTATTAATTTTACAAAATGTTGATTCTATATTTTTTGAGTTAGATAAGGTAATTTCTTCTTCTATAATAGTGTTTTTTATTGCTAGAAGAACTCCTCCATGATATATCTTATCTTATCTTATATAATACAGACGTTACTTCAAAAAAGAAGATGATTACGTCCTACGTAATATGCATTTAGTCATGCATATTAACCAATGACTTAAATTCTGCCAAGTCACTGGTTTTTCAGGCTAGCTCAGACAACCCATTCCATGCTCTAATAGCACTAGGGAAGAGGATCTTTAGATCTAAGCATTCTAAGTAGATTTTAGATAGACTGATACTATGATAGTATTCTAATTATGATAATAGACTATTATATAATAATATAATATTATTATATCTATCTAATTTTAATCTAGATAGAGCTGGTTACCTGAGGGTAACGATGAAATATTAAGTTAACAATACATTAAAAGAATGAAAAGATCAAGTAGATTCTAGATTACATTA